CTGCAGGTGTTCCTAGAGCTGTGGAGTCTGGATCTGTGGTTGGGAGTTTCCTGCTGCCCCCATGTTCCTGCTCTGTTGCCGTCATAACTTCTACCATCATCATTAGCATTAATATCAGTGCCATTTTTAATCTAGTCTACGTGTTGCTGTGTTGGCTGCCTCTCTCTGCTCCTTCTGTCCTTCTCTCGCCCTCTCTCTCTCTCTTTTGCCCTCTCTTTCCCCTCACCCCCAACCGGCCGAGGCAGATGGCCGCCCACCCTGAGCCATGGTTCTGCTCAAGGTTTCTGCCTGTTAAAAGGAAGTTTTTCCTTGCCTGTGTCGCCTAGTGCTTGCTCATGGTGGGAATTGTTGGGTTTCTGTAATTAACTTCAGAGTAGGGTCTGACCTGCTCTGTTTGGAAAGCTGTGAGACAACTGTTGTTGTGATGTGGCGCTATATAAATAAAATTGAATTGAATTGAAATTGAATTTCTGTTGCATCCGTGGTTGACTTTTTTATATTGACAACATATAATCTTATTTTTTTAGGGAAGACACTGGACCACCACATGAATGAAATAGAGATGAAATACCCCATTAAATTTACAATGTACTGGAATGTACGATTTAAATTATCTTTAATGCTAATATCGATAATAAGACAAAAGATACAATCAAAATCACAGTGCAATTATCTCCAGTTTTATTGAAGATGCTGTGGAGTATGTGTGATATAGACGCTAAGCACAGGGATTAATAGCAGTTACTGAGAAGTGACTCAGGATATGAATTTGTATGAATTTTGTCAGTGCATCCACAATTTTAAATCTTTTTAGCAGTCGAGCCTCCGCTGGTCAGGGCCTCGCTCTTCAGAGCATGCTCGTTCTGCTTGAACATCTTCAGCTCCATCTCAGTCTGTAGGCGCATGGACTGAAAGCAACACAGAATTTCATTTGCACAAGTATTTTAAAAAAACAGGTATTTCAAACATGACCTTTTTTCAATTACTCGGATGAAATGAAATACCTCCAGGTCTCTGGTGATGGAGTGGTTGGGTCCGTGGGTGACCATCAGGATACCGTAGGCCTTGCATATCATGCTATGGCCCAGTTCAATCTGCCCCGCATGCCAGTGGGTGACTCCCGCTCTCATAACAGCCATCCCTAATTGGGCGCAATTGGGATGGTACAACTTCCTATTCAAAAAGTAAGTGATCGTTAGAATGACCCTCCAATCATCTTCTGGCCTTCAGATAAATGTATTAACTCTAAAATTATACCAAAATTATTCACTTTGTTATCTAAGTAACCCCAATGACAAATTTAAAACATGTTTTAACTGATCTAGCCTGGCATACATATTCAGATATACATTGTAAATATAATTTGGAAAAAGTAACTCCATCTATTCCTCAAGACAGAAGAAACTGATGCGTTGTCATGACAACACATTTGAGGTCTTTGATGAGCTAATAGGTCTAATCTAATGAAGTTTGCCTTTATGAGACATTTTCTTTAAGTTTGTTACCACAAAGCTGCATCCTTTCGTCAACTCCAGAGAGATTTTCTGGTTTATCTTCTGTAAAATAACCTGGTAGGATGTACTGTCACTGTCACACTGGTGAACATTGTATTTGTTTGGCATTGTACTTGAAGTTGACTTCAATTACTATCTCAATAAGAGCATTTTTCCTCAAGAGCTTCTTTTTACGATTTTCTAAGATTGAAGATTAACCAAAAACTCATTTAAAATGTCTTAAGTGAATGCCCTGTGGCTGGTGTAAATTTGAATTCATATAGTTTCAGCTAATCTCTTCAGAGGAATTTTAAAGCTTTGAATGAGCTTGGTTTTGTTCACCGTCATTACCGTTGACTCATTTGCTTACTTAGCCTGGTAATGTTATATTATAATATATGTTATGTTATAATATGTTATACCAGAAGTATAACATATTGTTGCATCTATTTAACTTTCCAAGTGTTTCCTGATGGCTCTGAAATTGTATTTTTAAAAATGTATTATTGATTTGCATGACAAAAAAACATGTTAACTGTCATTATAGATTATAGAGTTTAGATTAATGGGACAATTAAAATACACAGGTGTTAGAGGAGGGGTCTGAATAAAAAATGCCTGAAAAAACATCCAAAAACTGCTTTAGGAACTAAAAATGCTGAGACCTGCTCCCAAGAAAAGTAATGAAATTGAAAATAAAAAAAAGGGGAAACTGGATGTTCTAGATTTTTTGCATTCAAAAAGGAGGATCTGTACGGGACACAGAAATTCTAGCACTCACATGTATCCCTTCAGCATTTGGTGGGTGTAGTCTGCAGCTTCGGGGAACAGCTTAAAGTACGAGACGACTTCACTGGCGACGTTCAGCACACGCAGCTTATACAAGTGAGTGTCGGCCAACACGTCCTTCTGCTTCTCTAAACACTCGCGACACAGTTTCAAAACCTGAAGGAGGACAGACAAAAACAAGCATTGAAAAAAACAGCGAAAACAGAAAGGGGCAAAGGTCAAGCGCTCTGGTCGTACCTCGTTGTAATCACAGTCAACTCGGGACTTTTCGATCTTCTCCAGGCACTCTTTACTGAAGGCGGTGACTTCTTTCACTTTATCACTAGAGGGCTGTGGTATAGACATGAAAAAGGGAAAAAGATGTGCTATAAAACGGAACCGGGAGAGTTTCTCGGTGGTTTCTCACGCGTGAACACTGACTTGTCCGTCTGCGGCCGCGGCCATCAGATCGTCGCCGATGTGCTCGGTGCAGCGCTTACAGGTGCACTCAAAGTAAAACAGATCCCTCAGCTGCTTCTGCCGGTCAGCAGACGGGTTCAGGAAGTCGACGTAGCTGACGGTCAGCTCCTCTCCCTCGGCTATTTTCCCCAGAGCCCGAAGCTCGATCCTGAGGAGAAGAGAATCTGATCAGGCCTTTTTCTCATAGCTAAGCGATGAATATCTTACATCATATCAATCCACTGTTCTGTTATCAGACCACTCTTTATGTACTGAGTAGAGTTTCTGTATTACTGTATATCAGTGGTATTAAAAAATAACTACAACCAATAAACACATAGAATAAAATCATTCCTTAATGCACTAAAAGTCCCATTAATCTAATTCTTTCAATATATTTTTTTATTTGATGTAATTTAATTTTGTTTTATTGTATTTCCCTCACTTATTATTTATTTTCATTTGCATTGCTTATCATTTTACCACCTATTGCTATGTTTGTATGCTAGACCTGTTTAATCGTGTAATATACTTTACTTGTAAGTGTAAACTGATGCATAAACTTTTAATGTTGTTCTAAGCATGTCATAAAAGAAAAGGAGCAGATTAAATGTGAGCTTGCATTTATATGTATATGTAAACTCCAAAAATTCAAATAATTAATTAAATAATTAAAAAATGAAGTGAGAAAAATGAATAAATATGGATGCTCTTCTATGATACGTATGGATTGCAGATAAGTCAGTTTGGTACCATTACTGGAAACTCTCATTACATCCTCACCCTTATGTAACATATATCTTTTGTTTGTCACTATCACCACAAAGCAAGGGTGTTCCTGGTTTGATTCCCAAATCAGGCGTTTCGACTTGGAATTTGCATGTGGTCCCCGTGTGTGTGGTTTCTTTCAAGATACTCTAACCCTCTTCCATTATTCAAAAATGTGAAGACAAGTTCACCTTTGATAGATTGATGATAGTTTTCATCTAAACGTACAGATTTCATGATAAACGTTGAGTGGGAAATGTGTGTGAAACGTACCTCCTCTGAGAGTGAAGAGCAGAACTGACAGCTGACTGGCTGCAAAAGACAATAATAGTCACTTAATTTAATTATTAGTACCAAAATCCCAGGTATCACCCACCCCAAGCCTTGATACCTACTTCCCATGGTTGAGGACGGCTGTACAGTTGGGCCAGCAGTCATGATTGACCAGACACAGGTTGGGAAAAAGTCCCACACCAACCGCCTGAAGACCCCTCTGGTCACTGATGGTAAATCCATTACACTTGATCTACAAAAAAGACGGAGTGGGATGGAAGTATAGCAGAGACAAACCAGATATGAATATCTAAGTACTTTGTCTTGTGTAGCTTAACTGTTAAAACATTTGAGGTTCTCTAGTAATACCTCCTCAGGCCTACTAGGCTCTACTTGTCTTGCCATGACAGGGTTTAGTCGGTTTTCTATTATAAATGAGGACATCATTTTTATGGGACGGGAATAACAGACACAGCAGGGTTGATTTAAACTATTTGTAGCTAAACAGTTACAGTAATTATGATATAAACGATCAAATCAGAAATTTGTCGAACTGCACCGAGTAGGTAATGGTGGAAAACCCTCGATGGTAACTGTTAGGAGGAACCATTTTCCTAATAGCAATGCAAAAAAAACTACAGTCAAGCCACTTACAGTTGGGGAAATAAGTATTTGACCCCTTGCTGATTTTGCAGGTTTGCCCACTTACAAACAATGCAAGGATCTATAACTTTAATCATATGTACATTCTAACAGTGAAAGACAGAATCCCAAAGAAAATTCCAGAAAATCACATCGTATGAATTTATAAAAATTGATAACCATCTGATGAGGAAAAATAAGCATTCTTTGTGAGTGGGCAAACCTGCAAAATCAGCAAGGGGTCAAATACTTATTTCCCCCACTGTAGAAGCTGGAAAACCCCGTTCACCAACAGTTACATAATAATGAAACACTACTAACAATGGTAAAGATCTGAGAAATGAAGTCAGCAGAGGGCTGGTTCCTTCCGTGAGACCAGTACTCAAGGAAGCTGTGCACGTCAGCGGTGAGCTTCTTGAGGTCCTCCTCGGCCAGGTCATCCACGTGGTGCTGCAGCTGATCCACAGATAGCAGCTGGCTGTCAGACGCCCGGCCTTTGTCCTTGTGCAAGCGCCAGAGCACCTGAGCTGCCAGGCTGGGCGAAAAGAATATGAATACGACCATGAGGAGCCGGTATTGGTCTAAATTTGCTCTCAAAGACACTGCTGAAATGCTATTTGCTCTAACACACACTACTAAAGCAGTCTCACACACACTACTGAAATGCTATTTGC